AAAATATTTAAAAAATTTTCTTAAGTCTTATTCTTTGATACACACTATTTAGAAGTTTGTTGTTTAATTTCCAAATACTTTGAGAATTTCCAGTTATCTGTTACTGATTTGTACTTTGATTCTGCTAAAGTCTAAGAACATATTTTGTGCAATGCATATTCTTATGAATGTGTTCAGCTGTGCTTTACAGACCAACATGTGTTATACCTTAATGAATGTTCTATGTGAGCTTAAGTTAAATGTGTACTCTCCTGTCATTGGCTCACAGATAAGGCTTTGTGTATTTATTTACATTTATTTATTGTGTGTGTGTGTGTGTGTGTGTGTGTGTGTGTGTGGCCAGCTCAGCCCACCTGAGGGATGGGGCTGGCTGGCATGTGGTGCTGGGGGATCGAACCACAGTCCCTCTGCTTTGCCAAGCTTGTTCCAAGTAGGTGCTTTAGACCACTGAGCCATCTCTCCAGCCCCTCTCCTGTCATTGGATGAAGAATTTTATATATGTCAGTTAGATCCAGTTGATTGATGGATGTTCAGTTCAACTGTGTCCTTACTGACTGTCTGACTGCTACGAGTGTTGAAGTCTTCAATATAATAGTGGCTTTATCTCTCTCCTTGCTGTTATGTCACCTTGCCTCATGTATTTTGATCCTTTCTTGTCAGGTACATGCACAGAAATTATTACATCTACTTGGAGAACTAGTTCTTTTATTGTTATGCAGTACCCCTCTTTATCCCTAACAGTTTTCCTATGAGGTGGTCGTCTTCTTCTTTTCCTCCTCCTCCTCCTCCTCCTCCTCCTCCTCCTCCTCCTCCTCCTCCTCCCCCTCCTCCTCTTCCTCCTCCTCCTCTTCCTCCTCCTCTTCCTCCTCTTCCTCCTCCTCCTCTTCCTCCTCCTCCTCTTCCTCCTCCTCTTCCTCCTCTTCCTCCTCCTCCTCCTTCTCTTTCGTCTTCTTTTTTTGTATGCACTTAGTGCAAAGTCTATAGGATCTCACTACATAGATCAGACTCATAGTGATCCTCGCTTTCAGCCTCCCAAGTGCTGGGATTACAGGTGTGCGCCACCACGCCCAGTCTCAATCACTGTCTCAGCACACCCCAGGGGCAGGGCTGACACAGCACTCTGAGGGTCAAACCTGGGCTGCTGCACTCTGCCAAAGCAGCTGTTTTAGTCTGCTGAGCTATCTGGCGAGCCCTTCTATGAGGTCTTCTCCATCTAAAATTAATATTGTTGCCAAATATGGTAGCACATATCTCTAATCCTAGCATTCAGAAGACGAAGGCAGGAGGATCACTGAGAATTCAAGGCCAGCTTGGGCTGCATAGTGGGTTCAAGGACATCCTGAACTACATAGCAAAAAACAAAGCAAAGTGAAAAATTATAACTTTCTTTTATTAGTATTAGCATGGTCTTTCTCCATCCTTTTACTTTTACTATATCTTGTCTTTACATTGAAAATGGATTTTGTGTAAATAAAATATATAAGCATGTATGGGGCTGGAGAGATGGCTCAGTGGTCTAAAGCACCTACTTGGAACAAGCTTAGCAAAAGCATCAGGGACCGCGGTTCAATCCCCCAGCAC